CCCCCCCCCCCCCCCTAAAGAAATTTCGTCCTCGAAATTCTTCTAAGGCTCAACGTTCAACATTTCGTTGTTATCACACTTAATCATGACTGTGTCATGTTCGTTTGGTTAAACCATAATTACATCATTATCCACATGGATACTTATTCTCAAACTGTCAATGTTAACAAACTCGTTCTTTCTTCAAGAGATTAACAATCTTTGATTAAGCAAGCCATTCAGTGATCCTTCTGTATCAACAACTAAGGTTCCTTTGTAGTGTATAGGGTTGTATACTTGACATACTTGGACATAACACAATTCCCAATTATACAACGTTGATTAACGATGTTCCTCCTTTGATTGAAGGTCTTTCGGGTAGAATTTGCAATTTCAAATCATCACATTCACGATAGATATAGTTGGGGATTTAGAGTTTGTTTCAATCTATACGTTGTAGCGTAACCTTTCAAGTCACTCAAGACATCTTCACATTGTTCACATAGTTCAGCAATGTTTCATAAGTAACATCAAATGGCTTTCCTTGGTTCAGGATTTTAAGGATAGTGAATTTGTCATCATTTATGAGGAAGTACTGTCGATTAATTGTACAGTAGCTTGTCATCATCGATCTTACATTGAATTATTTCTTCGATCACTTCATGGTAGCTCTCATCATCGTTAATGAGTCTTTGTATTAATTTGTATTCATAGTGATGACGTTCGCGTAGCGTTTCATATATGTCTTGTCGTATTCAACCTTCTTTCATTGATCTTGGAAATATATCAAGATATGTTCATGATAGTGACAAGTTAGATTGTAACACTATGGTTGATCTCGTTTTTTAGGGAAGAAGCTAGAGAACCTCTTCAGTACGTGGTTCAATTCATGAATTCATAGAGTAAGGAATCTTACTAGTTCTTTCACCAACATCGCATATGGGTTTAGGATAGTGACGTCATTTCTTCTTCAATCGGTCAGAACAAATTTTGTCGATCATTAAGATTATTGATAATGATCCTCGGAGATAATGTAATCACATTTACAAAGAGAGATTCATCAGAATGTTCAGGTAAGGGTACATTCAACATTGTGATCGATTCACGTAGTTCACGAAGTAAAGTTTTCGAAGATCAGTATTCCGATGCATCTTTTTGTGTTTAATGGAGAATCGTAAGTCAACACAAGTTTTTCATAGTTCAATAGTTTGGTACAAGCAATGGAATTCAATCTTCTCAAGATTGATCAACTGGAATGTTTCAAGTGTGTAATTAACACAGCAAGTTTGAGTATCTCAATGATATGAGTCACAAGATACAAATATAACGCTTGCGAATTATCGTTACTAATCATAGGTTTTCATCTTTCGATGTTTCACTCTTTGGTAGTTACTGAAGGGGTCGTTGTCTTAGGCCATTAGTCACTATGACTTTCCGTCTTGGGCTAAACGTGTTTCAGGATAACGACTCTAACTAGTCATTAGTCTCGATATATCCTATCGTCAACAGTCTGTAGTATTGGCGAGCATATTTTCGTTTGTAGGTAAATCAAAGAAAATTCACTTTTCTACACATATTTTGGCTAATGATAATTACCTTTCCATCAATGGTCAGGTTCTAGAGACTATATATATCATGATTGTAATACCCCGTACCAAGATAGGAATGGGAAGAGCTCAAAAGGATTGATAGTACTACTCATACCAACAAGGTGCATCTTCTTTTCGAGAGCTCATCACCTAGAAACTCCAAAGTTAAGCATGCTTGACCTGGAGCAATATTAGGATGGGTGACTCCCTGGGAAATTCCTTGTGTAACACCCGCCCTCCGGGGACCCGGTTCACCCGCGACACAACAGACCGGTAGGGTTACATGGGCGGTCCGAGAACCGTCCGTTATAAAAACATTAATGATTATTTAATAAGGAAACGGTTACGTTTGATTAATGGGATATTAATGACTATTTATTATGAAAACGTTTGTTTTACTTGGTGAAATAAATGTTAGAAGTTATTCCCAAAAACGTGACTGATATAAATGCAGAGTAAAAGCGGAAGTAAATAAATGAGTAAAACGACAAATGGTGGGTTCATGCCCAAATGATTAATTAATTTAATGTATTTAATTATTGAACTTGTCCGTGCGCCGCCCATCTTCACACCATCACTGTCCTCCAGGGTTGGCACCTGTACCGTCATGTCTACCTGCGTGTAGCAAAAACAACTACACGCTCAGCATAAGCTGAGGAGTGAATCTAACAAAAGAACATAAAGTGATAACCCATATGGCTATACACATATTAACACCTGTACTTTAACGTACGGAAAACCACATGTTTACTAACGGATTAATTTGCACTTGATGGGATATTATTACACATAACAAAATGAATAACAACCATATTGAATGTTGATGTGACGTGGAACATACATGATGATGACGACCACATTGAATGTTGACGTGACATGAAACATACATGATGACAATATGACTTGATGCATGACTTATGATATTAGGGACACCCCTGACTTAGTCTCACTTGACAGGATCACCCCTGCACTCCGGTAATGCCCCGGGCTCGACAAAACGTCGCAAGTGAACTAGCAAAAACCGGGTGGTAGCCGTAGCCTGACTACCATGTACGTACACAAAGCCCACTTGATGAAAACCCGTTGGATCCCAAAGGTTCCTGGATGGGCCCACTGTAGTAGGCGCACGAAAGCCTGACCTCCCTACAGCGGTATGCACATGATGATGATCTTAGTACATGCGTCTAGAATGAACATGATGGATGCTTGATGTATTTACCTTTGGTCAACGCCAAGAATATATCAATTAAATAACACACATAATGAATATTAACATTTCATGCAATCACACAATCAGATTCTGAGTCAAACTGGTCAAATGGGGCTCGTTCTACAACCTGCCTGAAATTCTGCCTGCGGAACGGTCGACCTTGCCCTACAGGCGGTCGACCGTGGGCTATGGTATGGATCTGGATCACTAACAGTCCACCGTCTCAGCCGGCGGTCGACCGTCACGGTGGTGGCTAACGGATGGCCAAGGAAACGGTCCACCGTCCGTAACGGCGGTCGACCGTCCCGAGGACAGTCCTCTGTCTTTGGCTTCGTTTTGGTCCATTTTGAAAACTTAACACCTTGATTCTTTTTAGAATGATAATACAACATTGATGAATATATTCCTAGTGATTCCTAGGCCAATATATATAAGTTTTACGTAGTAACGTTTTGATGGCTAACCTACGAACATGCATTAATTCTACGTAGGTTGCGTACGATATTCCTATGAATATAACAACATAGATTATAACTTGATGTTCTAGAATTAGAGGGGACAACTACTCACCTCCAAGTGAAGGGGTTGAAGCTACAAAGATGACGAGGAACGATGACTACGCTTTGCGCGATCGGCCTAGCTCTCCTTCTCCTTCAACCATGCACCCACCGGAGCTTCGCTGGAGATTCCCTGGGCTGCTGCTGCCTTGACCGAACAAGAGAAAGATGGAGAGTGGGTGTGTGTGTTGAATGAGATGGGGGTTACAAAATGATGAAATACATGAATGGGAAAGGGGGGTTTTATGAAAGGGGAGTGAATGGAATTGAAGAGGGAGTTAATGACAATGATGATGGTGAGTTGAGGGGTTGAGAGTGGCGTATGGATGATGGGGGTTACATAAATTTATTTTACTCCGTTATGTTAAAACCTGAACGGTACGCGCTTTTTCCCCCGAACGGGTCCGAATTGAAAACCGTTTACGTTTTTGGAAACAGACAGTCAAAATGAATTTAATGACATGTTCAAATAATTTTTCTAAGCACTTTTTATTTTCCCCAACTCTGGACCGGAACAGTAATTAATTATTTAAAACAATCAATTCTAATAGACCGGGTTGTAGGGCGTTACAATTATCCACCCCTTAAGAAAAATTTCGTCCTCGAAATTTACCTAGTCATTGATCACCATGATTACGTCATGTGCGAACTACTCAGTGCGTCCGCGCTTTGCGTTTGTGCGAGTTGAGGACTCTCCAGACTGAGCGCTCAGCGTCGGCCCATTGGGCTGGCTGGACACTGCTACCGATCTTTGGCTCTGAGCGGGCTGGGCGGCTGGGGCTGGAGCTTCGGGTGCTGTCGTAAATGCTTCGCCAGGGTTCATCGGGCAGTCCCTACGGAAATGCCCGGCCTGACCACATCCTAGGCATAAGCCCTGAGTAAACCAACATTCTCCGGGATGCCTTCGACCGCAATGGGTGCAGATCGAGTAGCGGTACCCGCTCTGACTCGGGTCCTTCCCGCTCTCCTGTATAGGCACTAGTGACGGGGCATGTGTTGACTTGGTCTTCTTGCTTGTGTGCGAGCTGCTTGGCATGGAGGAAGACCTCTTGCTGCTAGAGCTAGGTGGAGGTGGACGAGGATGCGTCGTCTGGGCCAGCTCGTACTCGGCCTTCTTGATGAGGGCTGCATTCATGTCCAACGCATGCTTGAATAGTGCGTTGATGTCAACCCGAGGAGCAGTGATCAGATGGGCTGATATGTCAGGGTGTAGACCCTCCACAAAGCGCTTGCACCGCTTCTCCATGGTTGGGACGAGGTCTTGCCCAAACTCTGCGAGCTCGTCAAACTTCTGACGATACTCAGGTAGTGTGAGTTTGCCCTGGGTGAATTTCAAGAACTCCTCTCGCTTCGCCTCGACGAAGTGCTCTGGAATGTACTCTTCATGGAAGAGTCGATCGAATGTGGCCCACTACACGGGATCAGGGACATCTGCTCCCACGCGCTTCCACCAGTCGTAAGCGGAATCCTGGAGTAATGCGACTGCGAGGTCGCCACGCTGACCTTGTGGAACCCTCAGGTTCCCTAAAACTCGGATGGTTCGCTCAAACCATCGTTTAGCGATCATGGGGTCGGCGATCTTGTCGCCTAGGAATTCCTCAGCTCCATTCTTCCGGAGCTTCTCGATGGTGACCACAGGTACCGGTGGTGGCGGTGGTGGCGGTGGTGGAACATATGCGCCAGCCAACTGCTGGAGGAAGTTCATGAAGTTAGCCGCGAGCTGCGGCTAGTTGATAGGAACGACTCACGGAACAGGGCCCGCGCCTGGGGCTGCCTGCTCTGGGGCCTGCTGGGTGTGAAGCTCGACGCTTCCGTGTGCATGCTCACGTGCTCAGGCTTCCCATGTGGGACAGCCTGTCCATCGTTGCCTGATGCTTGACTCATTCTCTATGGGATTAGCTTAAATTAGAACTAATGACAATATGACATACATGTGAATAAAATAACGGTGTACCTTTCCCTAGAAGTGATGTGATGGGAGATGCGGCTGTGGACTTTTGAAAATACTATTTGACCAAGATGACAAAATATGTTTTTTTTCTCACAAAATTGAACTGCTCTGATACCAAATTGTAACACCCGCCCTCCGGGGACCCGGTTCACCCGCGACCCAACGGACTGGTAGGGCTACATGAGCGGTCCGAGAACCGTCCGTTACAAAAACATTAATGATTATTTAATAAGGAAACGATTACGTTTGATTAATGGGATATTAATGACTATTTATTATGAAAACGTTTGTTTTACTTGGTGAAATAAATGTTAGAAGTTATTCCCAAAAACGTGACTGATATAAATGCAGAGTAAAAGCGGAAGTAAATAAATGAGTAAAACGACAAATGGTTGGTTCATGCCCAAATGATTAATTAATTTAATGTATTTAATTATTGAACTTGTCCGTGCGCCGCCCATCTTCCCACCATCACTGTCCTCCAGGGTTGGCACCTGTACCGTCATGTCTACCTGCGTGTAGCAAAAATAACTACACGCTCAGCATAAGCTGAGGAGTGAATCTAACAAAAGAACATAAAGTGATAACCCATATGGCTATACACATATTAACACCTGTACTTTAACGTACGGAAAACCACATGTTTACTAACGGATTAATTTGCACTTGATGGAATATTATTACACATAACAAAATGAATAACAACCACATTGAATGTTGATGTGACGTGGAACATACATGATGATGACGACCACATTGAATGTTGACGTGACATGAAACATACATGATGACAAAATGACTTGATGCATGACTTATGATATTAGGGACACCCCTGACTTAGTCTCACTTGACAGGATCACCCCTGCACTCCGGTAATGCCCCGGGCTCGACAAAACATCGCAAGTGAACTAGCAAAAACCGGGTGGTAGCCGTAGCCTGACTACCATGTACGTACACAAAGCCCACCTGATGAAAACCCGTTGGATCTCAAAGGTTCCTGGACGGGCCCACTGTAGTAGGCGCACGAAAGCCTGACCTCCCTACAGCGGTATGCACATGATGATGATCCTAGTACATGCGTCTAGAATGAACATGATGGATGCTTGATGTATTTACCTTTGGTCAATGCCAAGAATATATCAATTAAATAACACAAATAATGAATATTAACATTTCATGCAATCACACAATCAGATTCTGAGTCAAACTGGTCAAATGGGGCTCGTTCTACAACCTGCCCGAAATTCTGCCTGCGGAACGGTCGACCTTGCCCTACAGGCGGTCGACCGTGGGCTATGGTATGGATCTGGATCACTAACGGTCCACCGTCGCGGCCGACGGTCGACCGTCACGGTGGTGGCTAACGGACGGCCAAGGAAACGGTCCACCGTCCGTAACGGCGGTCGACCGTCCCGAGGGCAGCCCTCTGTCTTTGGCTTCGTTTTGGTCCATTTTGAAAACTTAACACCTTGATTCTTTTTAGAATGATAATACAACATTGATGAATATATTCCTAGTGATTCCTAGGCCAATATATGTAAGTTTTACGTAGTAACGTTTTGATGGCTAACCTACGAACATGCATTAATTCTACGTAGGTTGCGTACGATATTCCTATGAATATAACAACATAGATTATAACTTGATGTTCTAGAATTAGAGGGGACAACTACTCACCTCCAAGTGAAGGGGTTGAAGCTACAAAGATGACGAGGAACGATGACTACGCTTTGCGCGAT